ACATTAGGAAGTCTTTTATAGGGTGCAAAAAGTGGGGTCCCAAGTGAGGGGTGTGACCAGGGTCAAGCGTGCGTTGAGGAATCCTCGACATGTCACAGGGGGGGGGGTCGTATTGGCCCGCTGGGAGGAAGAGATCGGGCCGATTGACGGTAGGATCATCACCATCGGAGGACAAACATCAAGGGTCGATGCCAGGCCAGAGGATTTCCAATAACAATGTCATTCTGCCCACATTCGTGATTCAGAGATGTCCGCTTAGCAATTCTTAGTTACTTGTCCTCTGACGGTGATGATCCTGGTTTTGTCACCATACAAGTTAAACAATTCGAAATAATTCGCACTTTTTCCAAGGATATTTTATCTTTCAAGTGAGTCCTCGAATCTAAAGGGATGTGAAGCACATGGCGCATCCCAGAGTGGGCTTAATTGGTTGCGCGCACTTCAACTACGGCTCTCTGAAGAAAGAACCTCAATTCAGGAAAAACTAAGAGGATTCTGAAAGGATCCGTGTGAAATTACAGTTAGGAGTACACCATTCAAAAAGAAACACAGTCTTCAGCGTCAAATTCTTAAGCACGTAACCCTTAAAGTTGAGATACACTAAACTATTTTACACTTCTTGGAAGAGAGAAGCAGGAGCATTTCGAATCTGCCCCTACTTTAGTATGTAATCGCCTCTGAAAGGAGCTATAGCCGTTGAAATAGGGCCAATGCAGCAAAAAAGTACCTTTCGGCGGTACTCGGGCAGAAATCCTCAACGTGGCCATTTCTTTAATACTGAACGTATTTAGCAGCTCTAACAACCATTAATAGAGCAAATCTTCTAGTTTATGAATGATATATTAGCTTTCCAGAATGGATGAGTTTGAACGGAGTTATGGCTTTGGAAAGCGTAAGAACTCGCACTCATCGCAAATTTTCCTCGTTAATTTTGCAAAAATCCTCAACGTGGCCATTTTTTAGGTACGGAACGTATAAAGTTGCTTTAGTAAGCGTTTGATAGAGAAAATCTTCTAGTTTTGTCTGCCATATTAACTTTTCAAATTTGACGAAAATGAAGCAAGTTATGCTTCGGAAAGTGTAAAAACTCGTGCTCATCATGAATTTTCCTCGTTAATTGATCTAAATTTGTTATTTCTTCATAAATTTTTGTAATTTCAATACTGATTAGAAAGAGCTCTTCACAAAACTTCCAAATCTGCTTTCAGATTGAAAATTCGTCATATTTGAAGAAAGTTATAATCATTTGAATATTTGTTCAAATTTCAATAGTATTAGGTTGTCTCATAAATAGTGTCGCTTTTTTTCAACCAAAAAATTTTCATCTAAATCCCCATGCTTTTACATCGAGTCATATACCATTCGAAAGAGAATTGTCTGCTCTACAAGATATTGTGTTCTTCTTCCATCTATGTTCCATGGTTTTCAAATTTTAGGCCTGCGAAATGGGAGGTCCAGCCGACAAAAATTGACCAAACCGACAACTATCTCTAACTTTATCTTCCCTTGGGAGAAATCAATCAATACTGTACCCTCTACTTATGCATGACCTCTTTCTAAACATTACACTATTAGGTTTCCCAACAAGTCGCGTCATTCCATTTCCAGACCTGGTTTTTCAACCAGAACTCGACGGTCAAGCACCATTACCTGAGATCGAGGTCGAAATTTTTTTATAGCCGAGACATTGAAAAACTAGTAGAATTTAAAGAACAAGTCATGACTAAGTTAGGAATGTACGCCTGGTTGATTTTCTCATCTTCTCAGGATAATTTTTTTTTCAAAGAAATGCGGTCACTTTCGTGGATAAAGCACCTTACTCCTAAACACCTAAAATTCGAGCTAATTCCTAACAAACATTAAAACAAAACAAATGAGCGAATAGAGCAGAAGAAGTGCTCACAAAAGATACACCAGTTGATATAAAACAATAGCGTTTCAGAGGAAGAATTTCAATTTGAAAATTGCCATGGCTTATCGGTCGGCCAATTCGAAAAGAAACAGGGCAAACCTTTTTCGGCAACCTAAGGGTGGAATGTTTCAGAAGAGGTCATGAGTAAGTAGAGGGTACATCATTGATTGATTTCTCCAAGGGAAGATAAAGTTAGAGCTAGTTGTCGGTTTGGTCAATTTTTGTCGGCTGGACCTCCCATTTCGCAGGCCTAAAATTTGAAAACCATGGAACATAGATGGAAGAAGAACACACATCTTGTAGAGCAGACAATTCTCTTTCGAATGGTATATGACTCGATGTAAAAGCATGGGGATTTAGATGAAAATTTTGGTTGAAAAAAAGCGACACTATTTATGAGACAACCTAATACATAAGCTGCTCCACGGTCAACGCCAAAGATCAGTCAGCACACAGCTGGCTAAGGCGGTTACAAGGCTTTTATCAATTGAAAGGGGGACGTTTAAATTGAGAACCATGATCTGTGTAGTACTAGAATTTGGTAAGTGTTATGAAGGAAATAAATAGAGAAGAGATGTTGTCATAGTATGCCATTTTTAGTGACTAGTTTGTCGTTTTTGCTCCTTTTCTCGTTTGCTCGTTTGGTAGGCTCATCATTAATGATCATTCTTTGACTTTTTCACTTTTTACTTCTTAAAACGAATTTTTTGGTGACTTCAAGTGTTCATTATATAGAGACTGTCTGAGTTATTTGTCGAAAACTCTCCGAGTTACGAAAGAACCAAAAAAAGAAAAAAGCGAAATTTTAGAAAAATGCGCTCTTCTGTTTCAGAATGGTCATAATCTTCTCCACTTGTAATCTTACAGGAAGCACAAAGAGTATTAGGGAGATTCGAGTAATTTCTTCTTGAGTGAGTACCAAAGGTACCTTTTGGAGTCTGCCCTTCGAAAAATCGTCGCCTTTGTTTTTTTTCGGGCGCATACAGAGTTTCAGGCTTAGAACGCTCATAACCTTGTTCGAAGTTGATTTCGTGTAAGATAATCCATCCCTTATTGAGAACAACGAAATTTTAGTTTTCTAGCGGTTCCCAAATCTAGGCTCAAAAAGTAAAATTTAGGGAATGATCCCGTGGGAATGTTTTTACGGTTTGCGAGCCTTTTCTGCTTGAAACAGTTTTCTGACATAAAACGATAACAACTTTCTTCAGAGCTACTATTTTGGGAATCCAAAGCTATTTAGCCAATTTAGCAGGCAAAAAAAAATTTTTTTCCCTTGGGCATCGGAAATCAATTTTTAATACTATTACACTACTGCTTGGCTGTGGAACATCAGGATTTCTCTGGAACATTTGTTGCTCGCGGCAAACTGAAATTTAAGAGCATGATCCTAACCATTCCTACTCAGATGTTGAGTAAAGCACACTGACGTCTTCCCACCTTTATATTGGCTTGCTAAATCCAGACCGAGTCCGAACCAAGTGGTTCTGTTTTGGAAGCTCAGGTCTATAAAAATGATACAGCTGCATTTGAACTACTCCCTCCGATTCACTCAGCCTACTCTATTCTCATTCTGGTCATCTTGCTCGCGGTAGGCTTCTTATGAAGAGACACGACACAAAAAGTGATCTAAGGTTTGGAGCTTTGTGGTTTTTGCACACAGTGAGATTACGTGCAGCGACATCTTCCCTCGAGAACCTCCACTTATGAGATTATTGCCGCGCATTCCGCCCCTGCATTCTGCCCCTGCCACTTCCCTCACCCTAACCCAAACCAAATGCGATCCCCTTCGTTGGTGAATTACCATAAAAGGTTGACCCTGTTTCAAACATCCAGTAGGGGAATTGCAATCTGGGGCGCGTAAAGCGCGTGAATCACCATGGAAATCATATCCTTTTACTGTAGATGTTTAGGACCAAGCCTCAGAAAAGAGTAAGACCCCCAGGGCATTGGGCGACATTTTCCGCGGGAGGTTTCCTAACTCCTTCAACGTTTAGTCCTAGTTGCTCACTGGGTGAACACTACCTTTCGTAGGCGTTTATGTCATCTTGCACACAGAACTCACATCTTATACAGAACACCTAAAGAAACAGCGTAGAAATAACATGTTTTCCGCGGTGGAATGATTGGCCGTCGCAGTTGATTCCATCAGTTACCACTACTACTTACAAGTCTCATCTACCAATTATCAAGTATCACTATGAACCACTGGTTACCAGATTCACTTGGAGCCCGTCGTCAATCGTGGTGTATGGTCTGCACTCAACGCACTTTCCGGTTATCTGAAAAGAAGGTACCTAAATCTCTCTCCACTCCACTCCAGATCAAGTCAACACGATCACTCTCACGTCTGTAGCGTGTACAACACCACAGAGAGCGTAACTTCAACGCAAAACTGAGGGGGGTCTGTAAGGGCCTTAACTCTGCGCCCACACGACAAAATGAGTGATACTCGAATTTGAAGTTCCCGATCGTGTCAGCTTAACTAGTCAGAGAAGCGAAACCAAACATGCCACAAAGACACACCATTCCCAGAGATAGCGGCCTAAAGGCCATTTTTACATGAAATACAACAACATTCTGGTTTCTAATTAGAGGTTTCTCTGAATTTAATGATGGCGCCTGCGAATTTGAAGCTGTTCAGTTTTTTGAATCAACCACTATATCTTCGCAGGAGAAATCATAGTAAACACCATATAACTTTCACCAGAACGAAGTTAAGTCTGTTATTGTACAAACAATGGATAAACAATGCTTGCTTTCAATTAATAGACGGTGGACAAACAACCAAAATTGAAATAATGGACAAAATACTTTAGATGAGATCCCGCATTTTCTTGCATGAATTCGTTTGTATGCTGTCTCCCGTTGTTTTTGCCTGGCTGAGTCGCTTCTGTGTGAGGTTCTTTCGAATCGCTGGGCTTACAGGGTCGAACACCAGTTGGCCTTTAACGGTTCAGTACAACCGAGTACTGAGCTAAATAAATTACTAGATTTTGAGAAATACTCTAAGAACTCACCATTCACTGAAATATGCCGAGAAATGGTAATTTTTTGCTGTGTAAAAACCGCTAAGGCTAAGCGTGTAGTTCTGTAGGTATAGTATCGCCTGCCGGTGTGTCTGTGCTATCAGTCCGTGACAATAATTAACGGGATAAGCAAAGTGGCTAATTAAAACAACAGGCAAGCTCGCCAGCAATTTGCTGACCCCCGCCCCATGGGCTACAACAGCACCTTACTGAGCTTGCTCGTCCTTCTATTTGTTTGCTGCAGTGGCCAATTGAATGGAAGAGGAAGATGGGTTGCCGAAGAGAGAAGGAAAACGCAATGACAAGACCTACGTGCGCCCTAATTAAAGTGGGCTGTACCCAGTCCAGTGTCCTTCTAAAGTCATAATGGCTGCCGGAAATGTCCCCTCTACTATATGATTTCTTTTGCGTACAACGGTGCTCCGCTCGCACAAGGCGTTAGTGGCCACAACTGGGAGGGGAGCACTGCTCCAAAGCCGGGAGCGGACCGACAGTTGCTCGCAAGATCATTCTGGAACTCACAACAGTAAACCCTAGTAATATCGAATAACAACATTGAACAAGCAATATTTGCTATAGGAAGAAGATTTTACCTTCACTGTTTCCTTTCTTAGATTTCTGAGTTGCGGAGCAGCAGAAACAACGGTGGGTGCCTGAGGGCCAATCACAGGCGGATGCTCACGATCGCGTCGAATGACAGGCGCAGAAGAGATCACAGCGCCTCCTGAAGAAAAACTGTCTCTAACACCTCACATCACTTTGAGAAACGTGGTGACTTTCGAGCTTAAAGAAACTTTCATCAAAGAAATATCTGAAAACAGAACAACCTCCATCGTTTTGTGTAGCAGGTGCAGGTGCTGGAGCGGGCAATGGAGGCATAGGAATACCCATAGGATTGAACCTCGGTGGCACCGGACCTGGTGGAGGTCCAGGGGCTGAAACAGCAAGAATGCAGTGTAGATTCAAACAAATAAATATCTAAAAAGAGCTTACGCTGTCGAAGAGGCATAATTGGCGGGAATTTAGGAAACTTGTTTGGACCATCGAAGTCAGGAACTAAACAATTGGGAATATTTTTTTACTGTGCGAGAAGACAAATTATGATTCTTAGTGTTATAAGCGGGGATACATTAAGACATCCAATACGAAATATCTTACTTATCACAGGCGCTAAATCGTCGTCAGCAGGGAGAGGTACGTGATAAGGATCGTGCTCGTTTTCGCCCTCGCCTTCGCTATCGCTCAGATCCGGAGGAATACCACAAGGAGGTCCTGGCGGGCGCAGTCCTTGCCGTCGAGGTCCCCCACGTGGTAGCTTGAATTCAACCTTTCTTCCTGAATTTCAACATTACAAACATCTCGGAAAAAGCAGCATATAAGGTTATATATTCAACGCGCATGACTAAAAGCTAAGAGCATGTGTATTCAAAAAACCAACAATTATAAGAAAATCATGAATGCCAACATAAAGCCTTCAAATGAATCGGAAAATGAATCAAACAAATACGCGATTAGAAAAAAATTACTTGACAGGAGCCATTGGCTGCGGACCCATAATCTGCACCTTGCGCAATTCTCCTTCC